ATACCATAATGTTAAGATTGATTTTGGTGACATGAGTTAAGACTGATGGACTGTCACCTCTATGCTGGCCCGGCCATGGGAAAGGGAGGTAGAGAAAAATGATTCAGATTAAAGCACATAGAATCATAGATTTATAGAAGTGCAGGGACAACAACAACTTGCACTTATGCAGCGCACTCCACACAGGGAGAGCTTTAAAGAGGCCATTTGGCAATCAAATGGGCAATAATGTTTTTCTCCATGACTCAACTGAGCCTGAACTGTTGAAACTCAATGAGTTTGAAAATTATGAGTCTTTGTTAATCATTCTCACTCACTCACCGTATACATATTCCGAAACATTGTTTTCAGCAAGCCTTTCTGCCTTGTCTATCCATGAAGTTGGAGTCACTATGTAAAGAGATTTGCATTACAACATGTAAGTGTTGTAAGTGGGTCGCAATTTATTCAGCCATTCTAGTGAAGGTGCTGAACGCCTTGTAACTCCAGTAGTTGACATAATGTCTAGAGACCCTTGTCTGTTACTTTATAAATCTTGATTGAATACTCTTGTCCAGTCCTTGGACAAACAGCCCTTGACCTTCGCTTTCCTTGAAGCAGAAAAAAAATGTTTTTCATGCATTCCAAAACAGCCATGTTTCCCTCCAGGCCACAGAACACATCCTTGCCTTGGATCACACCACCTGCTTTTATTTAGACATAATATCACATATGACTGACTATTCAGTTGTAATGATATACCATTAAATACACCATCAACAACAAGGCAGCATTTGAAATACAGGCCTGCCTTGAAAGCAACATGGGGTGTTTCATTCTGGGGTCAGGAATAATAATTGTTATGTTCTCAATAATGTGTAGAATACTCTTTTATTTCAGCTCACCAGTTACAAAATCAGTCACACCAAAAACCCTCTACCCAGTCCTTCCTGCTTTTTCTGCCTTCTGATCCCCTTCTATTGGTCTTAGTCAATTGGTTCTTATTTATTAATAAGTATCCAACAATAATAATAATCCCTGCAATAAAAATATTATTATTATTAAAATAATAATAAAAGATTTCAAGTGAAAGATGGGACAGTATCTGTTGATTGCACCATAGGCCAGAAGATTCTTGCCAGCACAGTAAAACATGCCATTCCACCAAAAAAAAAAGCGGAGTGGAAAATTCAACATGTGATGTGGTTTTTAACACAACTCCAAACATTGTGGTTGAATGTGTAAATTAAGGTGAGAACACCTCTTCTCCAATTTCAGGACGAAGGTTGGACCCAAAGTTGGGTCTGAACCACCATCAGAAGTACTGTATGTGGATTTGAGTGTTACTTCTTAACTCAATTGGGTCAGTTGGGTCTGTATCGCCTGGAGCATCACTCAAACACCATGTTCCCTGGACGACCAACTCAAATCATTGCCCCAAAATTTGAAAGGGAAAGGAAGGGGGACGGTTGTCACACCATCTTTAGTTGTTGACCTGTTTGATCGCGATTTGATGATGAATGTGTTATCATTATTACAAGTCATAATTATCACATCCTATGCCACATTCTTCACCCCACAATACAGGTGCTAAACAAACTGAAATATGAAAATGTTTATCTAACTTACAACCAATCTGATCACATTCTTCCCCCTCCTTAAGTTAATTATGTCTGATGGGGGTAGGGGGTTCTGCCCGATTAATAAACTTTGTAAAAGCCTTTAAATTTAGTAATGCTTCACTTTTTTCCAGAACCTTTCAGGTCATTTACAACACAGCAATACAAGAACTGCCTAATGATTTGTGCCTGAATAATTAAATAACCAAAAGTAAAAGTTGTGCAAATCTCATTTATAGATTTTATTTATACAACATATGTATTAATAAAAGACAGAACATATTATCAAAATGTACTTCTATAACCTTCAAAAGAACAAGCTGGAATATTCAGAGACAGTCATGCAATGTTATATTGCAAAAGTAATTTAGGTGTCAGCCTGGCTCAGTTGATGTCATTTTGGGTCGAAAGGTTGTGGGTTCAAACTGCATGTAGAGACTTTGAAGTCACAGTCCAGGCTGACACTATAATGTCGGGCTCAGGGAGTGCTCCATTGTTAGAGGTGCCACAATTCCGAAGAGATGGGGGTTTCATCTGCCTGTTCAGTTGGACATTAATGATCCCATGGCACTACTTGAAAAGAGAAAGGAGCTTCTCCGAATGTCCTGGACAACAATTCCTCAGATAAAATTGGTCATTCATTTCATGGCTGTTTGTGGTGTACAATCAATGGCTGCATTTGCCCACAAAATACAGTCATTACAGTTTGTAGCAAAATCCTGTAGATTATATAAACAGTTGGGTCTATAGAGCCCAGTGTTATTAAAGACCTCATGGGTAACTATAATCCGTGATAAATAACTATCCACTGACATCCTTTTCATTGATTCCATAATTAAAGGCACATGTTTGAATATCATGGGTTGTTAGCCCAACCTGCATTTTAGACTCCATTGTAAATCAATAAGTGTTCATCACTGGCTAGCTAAACTCCACATACACTTTCTTCACATAATGGCTGGAGAATGTGAAACTCATTCTGTGATTGTAGCAAAACAAATCTAAGAGGAATCTTGACTTAATCATGGGGAGAAGAGAGAGGTATAGGAAAGGGGGAAAAGGAAGAGTGGAGGCTCAGGTGGAGTATAAACACTGACAAAGATGAGTTAGACCAAATGGCTTGCTTCTTTGCCAAATCAAAAAATTGTAGTCCTGGTAAAATAACACCAATGAGCTTGCCTATTCTAGACAGACCGACTGCGTATGTACGATATCCTCAGACAGTTCGATCCAAGTTTAATCAGTACAGAGCAATATCCATTTTTCAGAAATAGCAGCATTGTCACAGGCAAGCAATCACTGACTCTCATGAGGGTGTTACATTAGGAGAAGTTATATCTGCAGACTTGGTCCTTTAGGAGATGGGTTGCAGACTGACAATCTGAACACATTTGCTCGATACTCTTACAGCCACCAGAGAGGAGATTCATCTCATGAATGAACTAGTTTTCATCCGTAAGACACTGCACAGTAGAGATTTAAAAAAAGAAATGATCATGGGCACTGGTGCAACCCTAATGCAAAGACAACAACAAATTGCATTTATGTAGCACCTTTCACATTAAGAGGACATACCAAGGTACTGGACAGTTGAGGATTTGCACCCAAGCTGAGGGTTGGAGTCAGGAGGAGTGGTGACAAGGGGGTGGGGATGGGAAGATGGCCGAAGGCATGGTCAAAGAGGAAGGTCTTGAGATGGACCTTGAATGAGGTGAGCAAAAGGGCGACACAAATGGACTCTTGGATGGTGTTCCAGAGAATAGGGCAGAGAAGCCAAAGGTCTGACCACCGGTGGTGGAGCAGGTGGGGTGGGAATTTGAAGCAGGTCAGTCCCTGCCAAGTGGAGGGAGTGGGTGGGTTGGTAGTGTTTTAGAATGTCACAGAGCTAGGGTGGGGCAAGACCGTTGAGAGATTTAAAAGTGAGGCTCAGGGTCTTAAACTCAATGCTTTGGGGGATGGGGAGCCAACAGAGGTGGGTGATGATGGAGGTAATTGGATTACAGAGCCTGTTGCTAGAAAGGACGCAAGCAACATGATCCACGAACTGTTGTTGCTCATCATTCTGTAGCTGAATCAAGTCATGTAATGCCCACTGTATACTCAAATAAATCAGTATTTAGAGAAGAATGGACTCGATTTTCTTTTCATTTAAACTCGTTATTGCAACGTTCATTTAATCTTGCTATAGCAAGGTTTTAAGGCTTGGTACACACCTGTAACCCTTTCACAACTCTTGCATGTGTTTTGCATTCAAATTATAATACCATTTCTGAAAATGTAATTTTGTTGTCCTCCACTGACAAAATGTGGATCGTGTGGCCCGCATGAAAAGATAGTAAAGCCTGATCTGAACAGAATTGTCTCATATATTCCAGTTATCCTATCGATCCCAGCACTAGTGCACTAGACCAAATAATACCAAGAGTATGATAAATTACATTCATAGAATTACATTCGGGTCAACTAGTCCTTGCCAGTGTTTATACACTCAACAACAACAACTTGTAATTATATGGTGCTCTTCATGCAGGGTAGCATCTCAGAGCACAACACAAAACTCCACTTCTCCTAATCCTGTCTCTTAACCCTATATCAGAAACATTCTGATTGTCTGGCTTATTGCTATCAAATTACCTGTTAGCCTCCTGTTAGCCTCCTGCAGCTGCACCTTGCTATGCTCCTTCTCAGCGTATTCTACAGTGTGCGCAGAATATGCTCAGGCTAACGCAGACTAATTATGCTCAGACAACAGCAAAAAAATTACATTTATAGAGCGCGTTTCACTTTGGGAGGAGGTCCCAAGACGCTGGACAGTCAGGGGTCAGGACCCGAGCATGGGGGAGGGGTGGGGTAGGGGTGAGGAAAAGCAGAGAGGTGGGAGGGCGACTGAAGGCACGATCGAAGAGAAGCGTCTTGGGACCGGCCTTGAAGGAGACAAGGGAGGAAGCAAGGTGAAGGGACCGTGGGATGGAGTTCCACAGTGTGGGGGCAGAGAGGCTGAAAGCCCAGCCACCGATGGTAGGGTAGGAGACATGGAACAGACCGGATCCCACTGAGGAGAGACCGGGCAGGTTAGTAGGGAGTCAGAAGGTCAAAGAGGTGGGAGGGAGCAAGGCCATGGATGGCCTTGAAAGTGAGGACGAGGATCTTGAATTTGATCCTCTGAGGGATGAGGAACCAGTGGAGTCGGGCGAGGGTGGGAGTAATGGGGTCACGGAGCCTGGTGTGTGAGAGTACATGAGCTGCAGAGTTTTGGATGATCTGCAGCTTGCGAAGGGAAGAGTTGGGAAGGCCGATGAGGAGGGAGTTTCCATAATTGAGCCTTAATGTCACAAATGAATGGGTGAGGGTTTCGGCAGCCTGAGGGGTGAGGCAGTCGCAGAGTCTGGCAATGTTGCGGAGGTGGTGGTAGGCAGTGCCGGTCAGACTAACCCAGGTCGACAATAAAACACTGGGAAATTACTCTTTAGTTTTCATGAAATTAGGACAGAAATATATCAGAATCTCACCCGTTCTTTGTTCAATTAAAAAAAACTTTACCTACAAAATAGAGTTTAGCCTGAAAAATGAGAACATTTAACATTTTTGCCTATGCTATAAAATCATCTGAAATAGCAGGTGGATTTCTCAGGGATGGGCATCTGCAAACTAGATGGAGGAAGATGTAACAAGGTATATATGGAAAGTGTAAGGATTTTGTGATATTGAATTTGCGAGAGATGCTCCCTGTGCGAGCGGGGCATAGTTATCGTAAATGGGGAGTGAGATGAGTTTTTTCCGCTCCTTAACTCAGGGGAGTAAGAGCCCAGTTAGATTTTCCCCATTGTAGTTGCACAAGATAAATTAATTCAGTGCATACAGAGAATCAAACCTAAGATCTTCTTGATCATTGCAAAACCCACTGAGCCAGAGTGTCTTCCTTCTTCTTTACTATAAAGATTTATTAACTTTGCAGATTGCCATGAAGCACAGAAGTATGACATTGTACAAAATGCTGGACTTCTTTATTCTCCTTTACTTATAACCCCTTCTTCATCAAAGTAAATAATGCAGGTGATATAGTACCCTAACAAGTCATCGAGACGTCTCAAAGCCTTTCACAGCTAATTTATGCACAACGACATCCTACAATTACAATTAACATTTGAAGCAAATGACCCTGGGAGATCCATGCAAGAGAGTTGTGAATATGTCAGTGATTGTCAATAACCAGGGAGGTATCAGGCAGTTCTTCGTAAAATACACATGAATATTTCAGTCATTATTCATACACCTACTGTACTTTATCTAAAACTGTATGCAGGTACGTATTAGGCAAAATTGCACAATCAAAAAATCAAAGCAGGCAGTAAAAGTTAGTCTATGTCACGTTACTGATGGATGGACTCTTCATCCAGCATGATCTCCGAAGATGAAGTAAGGTGCCACTTCTGCATTGCGGTGGAGTCTGAGGACAGGAAAGAAATGAAATGATTATACTGTTCATCAAGCTCCACATCTAGCATTTTACTGATAGAACTGACCTGCTCCCTCCAAAGTGTAAAGAAAATCTCACTCCATCGCATATGCTTCCACAGTTTACACCAGCAAAACAATTGGCTACTTTAAAAATAATAAAATTTATTTGTTACATTTCTACTGTTTTATTGTTGCAGACACCAGAAACCCAAACTTCTAACTGATGTATTTCGTCTTACAATTTACAAATGCACACAAATGTAGACACTGTTTAATTCAGTCTCTATTTGGAAGTCAGTTCATTCAAATCAGGACTGGATTTAAGAACTTTTCACAATTGTGGACACTTTAAAATTTTAAGATAAAATGGTATACCACAGGAATTTGAGAAAAGGGCAGGTAAATGAGACTGAACGGATTGCTCTTAAAAGTCGGTACAGACATGATGGGATGATCAGCCTTCTTCTGTACTGTTAATTTCTATAGTTCTATGGTCTTACAGGCCAGGAGAACAATTAGAATTCATAGATATGCAAGAAATCAATATACTTTGTCCACAAAATATACAGTCAATTCACTATAAAGTATATTCTGTGAAGCGCTTTGTGACATCTCAATGATAACGCACGAGATTAAATGCAAGGATTATTATTATTATCATCACGAAACGACTCCCAATGCAAAATCGGAAAAATACAAGTTATTTGTTTCTGACCTACTTTCAATGAAACAATTATTTCTAGCATCATGCAGCTGTCCTGGAGTGCATATTATTCCCACGTTGTAAAGCATTTCATTGATGTCAGTTTAATTGATGCAGCCCATGTCCTCTCCCGCACTAGGCTCCCCGACCCTATCACCCCCATCCTTGCCCAGCTCCATTGGCTTCCCATCACACAGAGGATACAATTCAAGATCCTGGTCCTCACCTTCAAAGCTCTCCATGGTCTTGCTCCCCCCTACCTCTCCGACCTTCTAACTCCCTACCATCCTGTTCGCTCCCTCCACTCAGCAGGCTCCGGCCTGCTTTACGTCCCCCGCCTTGCTCGGCCCACTATGGGTGGGCTATTCCGCCACTCTGCACCCACCCTCTGGAACTCCATCCCGCAGTTCCTCCTTTGCCACCTTCAAGGCTCACCTCAAGACACTCCTCTTCGACCGTGCTTTCGATCTCCCTGCTTCCCCCCCCTGTCCTCCACCCTCCCCCAACCCAACCCCCAGCTCAGGTCCGTAACTCTGACCAGCACCTTGGGACGACCTCCCGACGTGAAAGGCACTATACAAATGTAATTTTGCTGTTGCTGTTGTTAATAATAATAATAATTCTTGCATTTGATATAGCGTTTTTCACATCTTCCAGACGTCACAAAGCGCTTCATAGACTACACTGTAAAGCGAATTGACTATGTTTTTTGTGGGCGAAACGAGGCAGCCAATTGCGCACAGCAGTGTCTCACAAACAGTCGTGGATTGGAGTGACCAATTTATTATTGTTTTTTTTCTTGAGGGAGTATTATTAGGCGTGTGGAGTAAGGAAACTTGCCCAAGGTTTCGTCCTGCTGGGAATCAAACCCAGGTCTCTCGCTTGCGAGGTGAGTGCTCTAACCACTGAGCTACAGGTAAAGTTACTACATTAATTGCTGCTCTTTAAGAAATCAGAGTGCAGTCAGACTAAAGACAAATCTCCTTCCTCTCCTTGCTTGGTGATCTGGCACTGCCTCTGTACAGTGCATTGAGACATTACTCTACGTGAAGGGTGCTAAATAAATGTAAGTTGTTGTTGAAACAAATCTAATACAGGCCAATTTGCTTTCTACAAAAAATACATCACCAGATCGGTTTCAGAAGAAGAAAGCCCTTCAGTCCATCTGATCCCATCCTCCAGAACACCAACCCTTCCATCCCCCCCATCATAGCATCAAACTATGTGTAAAAAAGGTTTGAGATTTGCCAAGTACCCAGATATATCTGACAACAAGTCCTTAACTAAAATGGGGGTGTAAACTATTACATCCAACTCCATCAGCAGGAGGTCCTACTGCAAACAAATCGATGTGGCTTCATTCAAAAGATCACTAACTGCAGGACATGAAATGGGAACATGTCACTGGTGCCCATTGAGAAAATCATAGGTTAGGAAGCAACGCAAGATTTAACTTGGCAGCACAAATGCTTATTTTTGGGACTCGAACCAGATACATGTCCATTTTCAATGAAGTATGCCAGTGATTTCTTGCTTATACAATATGCTCTGTAATTAAACCAATTCATCCTTCAAGATGCAAACTCAAACCCAGCTGTGTGAGTAGGAATTGCTAAAGTCTCTACAATTAAGCAGCCGCTCAAAAACATTTCAGAAATACGGGGAGAGGAAGAATATTTAAGTCAGGTCTGAACACACAGCATCTTCCCTTCTCCCTCACACATACAGCACCAATAACAACTTGCATTTCAACAGTGCCCTTCACGTTACTCCTAAACTTCCTATTCAATCTGCTACCAGTTGAGATTGCATTGTTTCCGTTCATTCTCTCTCTTTCTGCCAAATATGCAACTGAAAGCTAAGACTCAGCTCAACTATTTCCTGGAAAGAATTTTCTAAACAAGTTGAAAAAAAACACAGAAAGCTGCTTGCCTGCCAGCAGTGACTGTTGAGAAACAAATAAGACATCTTAATTCTAAACCTGTGTCTAAACTGTATGCCCACATATTGTTTAAAACCCACAGATGTGACACATCTCTGTTGGTGATCTATTGCACTTCTCAAACATAATACAGGAAATTGGAAACATGGACCGATTAAACCATATCCTCAGGCACACAAACCTGGTTCTCAATGCTGCCTTCTTTCCCCTGCCTCAAAATCATTTTGGAAATTGTGATTCAGAAATTTACATAAAGTCAAAAGTTCATCGTCCTTCCTTAAGTAAATGCTGTACTCTCTTTACAAACAAGCTCAGTGCAGCACAGGCCAATGCCATGAAGGCAACTAGGCTTGATGCAGATGATGTGCTTCATGCCTCTAATAACACTGCGATAATGCTAGGCATCAAGATTATGTCCAGAGAATCATCATCAGAATTGCTTGGACAACAACAGACAATTGTTTTTCTGTCTGGAACATAAGAGCTGCTACAAAATTCCAAGTGAATATAATAATCATTGCATTTGATATAGAACTTTATTATGTCATCAACATGTCTCAGCGCACTTTACAGGATTGGCAAGTGACTGTGTGGATTTTATCTGGGGGGTGTGGACAGGACAACAAGAGAAACATTCTCTTTTCAAATATTGCCATCTGATCTTTAATGTTTTTGATCGTGCTTATGGTCACCACCCTCTCTCCCTCTCCCCCTGGCTCATTGGCAGCTGCACCACTGTGAAGTGCTCCGGGACACTACCCCGCGTGAAAGGGGCTACAACAACGTAAATTGTTGTCTGAAAGGCAAGACTTCCAACAATGCAGCACACCCACAGTGAGTTTCAGCTTGAGGTGGAGTTTGAACCTACAACCATCTAACTCAGAGTGCTACCAACTGTGCCAGGCTATCAACTAAAAGATTGATAGAATGCAGGAGTAGGCTGAATATCTTAAGTGTGGAGAAAACTATACACATAACTCACATCAGTCGTTCAATATAAATATTTTACATTTCTGTCTTCTCTTTTTCTATTCTCTGCCACGCTCTCCTTAGCCTTTTTGCTACATAGATTCATGATTGTATGATTCGTGATTGTCTGGGTTATCCTTTCTCTAAGTATTCCTCAGCAAGGAATTTTAAAATCAACAATGAACAGTATCCGGAACTAATTATTTGGAAAAGGTAATTTTGTCTGCTTTCATATTGATTGCTTGAATTAAATGCTAAATGCATATAATGAGATGCAATCTTGCACTTTTCTCCTCAGATCGTGAACTCTGCCTAATAAACAGATTCATGCCATTTAACACTTTCTCTGCATAATCATTTATTCAGCACTACCAGACTGTAATTTTCACCAGCTGCTGCAAAACAGATATCCAACAATGAGAGACTGTGGCTTACCCTCCACTGCATTTGAATGAACAGCACTAATGATATAACATTAGACGGCAGAAGCTATCACTAACAGCTTGAACAGGAGTAAACCCTTTTTAAATTCATGCAGACATTTCCAGTGCCATCTGTCCGCATTCCCATTTAATGTTCTTCTATCTTTTGGTAACTAGAATAATAAAGATGAACAGAGATCCTTTCCCCTCTTTACCACACTGATTCATGGTCCACCTCATAGTGTTATCCATGAAAGGCAACACATGACAGGCTGTTTCAACTAGTCCAGAATAATAAAACCAGAGGACATGGCCTGCAATTAAAATGGGGGTAAATTCAGAACAAATCTACAGAAACACTATTTCAGTGAGCAAATAGTAAACCTGTAGAAAAGGCTCCCAAGGGAGACAGTTGAAGCAGGAAATGTTGATTTCTTCAAACACAGATACGATAGTTTTGTTTTAGGAAGCAACATTATGGATATAGTACATAGGTAGTTTGGGACATATGTGCATGCGACCGCCAGGAAGGTGGAAGGGGAATTAAATGGACTTTGGTTGTCTAGCATTTCATATATTATTATGTCATGTATCCTTATGTTCTTATGTATCCAACATTATGTATCCATCACTTTTAACCCACGCCAGTGGTATCCAATATCTCTCTCCTAGAATAATAGGATATTTTATTATAAACGAGCTGTTCCCATTTACTTTGGAGTCCATAACCAGGAGACACAAGAACAAGGCAGCAACTAGGGGAGCTAAAAGAGAATTTAGCAGGAACCACTTCACGCAGAGATTGGTGGGATTGTGGAACTCACTGCATGAAGGGGTGTTTGATTCAGATACGAGAGATGCACTTAAGAGGAAACTAGATATGAGGGAAAAGAGAATAGAAGGGTATGTAAGGGAGTAAGGAGTGGGTGAAGACTTGTGGAGCATAAATTCCAGCATGGACCAATTGGGCCAAATAGCCTGTTTCCATGTTGTACATTTCATGTAAATCTATGTAAATTCCCCACCCCCACCCTTCCCCCACCCCGACCTTCTTCTGTAGCCTCATGTAAAGCCAGAAAACCAATAGCAATAACCTTTAAAAACTACTATTCGTGTGGATTATATGATAATTCCCAGGATAACTACACACAAGACAATGAACGAACATTTCATTTCTATAGATTCCTGTGAATATTTCATTGCTAAATCTTAAGAGATTTTAGGTCTCTTTTTCTTCAGATTGACCTTTTCTTTCCCGTGTACCACATATCATATCAAAGTTGATTTTAAGGAAAGAACATGTTTTCGGCTGGTAAATGATTAATCAGCCTCTCAGCCTCTCGAGATATAGAAATTCCTCTGAAATCCTTGCTACTGTCTTATTGTGTCCCCACGGCATTCATTATCCCAATATTATTTTCTCTACGTACAAGCATGTGCCAGTAGCTCTCCTTTCTGCAATGTCTGATCAAAGGGAGTGCAGCAAGCAGCAAAAGCTAATTAACACTTTTAAAAGAACTATCCGTAGTTATTTTCAGCAACATTTTCCCATGTGAAAAATTGAGAACATGCAGAATGGCAACAATATACATCACACACTGGACACTGCTGTGTTCCAGTGCTGAAAACATTGTATTGCATTGACCTTTGACTGGGTCTAATGTGTACTATTCATATATGCTTGTGAAATGTTCCTGCATTTACATAGTTCCCTTCAATCGGAGCTCTTTATAATGGCTATCAGTCTTGAAAGGGGACATTTAGTGTTACTGTATATAAAATTTAAAATGGGATTAAAAAGTAAATCCATTTGAGGCTGCACCAAAACAGTAGAACAAGAGAATACAGCTTTAGAGTTGCAAACACCAGTTTCAGAACAAATACCAAGAAGTTTTTTTCTTTACCTAGAGGGCAATTAACAACTGGAACAGGTTGGCAATAAGAGTTGTTGAAGCTAGGTCAATGGACTTATTAAAAAAAAAGCTTGGTGCTGTGAATGGAAGATAGAACAACAATAATCCCGCATTTGACAGAGCCTGATCATGTCTTCAAGATGTCTCAAAGCGCTTCACAGAATATATTGTAAAGTGAATTGACTGTATATTTTGTGGGCAAAACACTCACAATTGTCAATTGTCCCACAAGCAGTCATGGATTAAGTGACCAATTTTCTTTTGAAGGAAATATTATCCCCGGGAAAGCAATCCCTCAATCAACTAACAACTGGGTTCCTACTTACTGGTAGGTAAACAGGAGTGTGGAGTAAGGAAACTCGCCCAGGGTTTCACCCTGCTGGGAATCAAACCCAGGTCTCTCACTTGCGAGGCGAGTGCTCTAATCATTGAGCTACAGGACTCCTGTAGTTGGGGTGGGCATTCTGGAAGGATGAGATCTAATGGGCTGAAGGGCCTTCTTCATCTGAACCAATCTTGTGATCTTGTGACGGGGAGAAGGGAGAGGGGGAGGTGATCATAGGCGGTGTCAAAGAGGTAAGTTTTTAGGCAGGACATAAAGACAGAGAGAGAGGTGAAATGGAGGGGGAGGCAGTTAGGGGCATGGTAGCTGAAAACTTGGCATAACCATTTGTATTAGGATCATAGAACAATAGAAATTTACAGCACAGAAGAAGACCATTCAGCCCATTGCGTATTTGCTGGATTTTTTCAGAGCAATTCATTCAGTCTTATTTGGACTGGTGGAGTTATTTGGTGGAGTCCTGTAGCTCAGTGGTTAGAGCACTCGGTTTGCAAGTGAGAGACCTGAGTTCAATTCCAGGCAGGGCGAAACCTTGGGCAAGTTTCCTTACTCCACACGCCTAATAATAATCCCTCCAAAAACCAAAAACAATAATAAATTGGTCATTTTCAATCTACGACTGTTTGTGGGACATTGCTGTGCGCAATTGGCTGCCGCGTTCGCCCACAAATATACAGTCAATTCACTTTACAGTGTGTTCTGTGAAGCGCTTTGGGACGTCCTCCCGACGTGAAAAGCGCTATATCAAATGCAAGGATTATTATTATTATTATTATACCCCTGTAGTTTACTTCCTTTTAGGTATGTATTTAGTTCCCTTTTGAAAGCCAATATGGATTTCTGCCTCAACCACCACTCCAGGCAGGGCATTCGATATCCTACTCTCTATGAAAAAATATCCTAACCTCTCCATTTGTTGTTTGCTAGCTTGATGCCAGCTAGAACATCAAATTTGCATTTATATAATGCCTTAAAAATCAGGAGGTCATCCCAAGGCTCGACAATTACTGACTTACCGACCAGTAGAAATAATTTTTCCACACTGACTCTTTCAAAACCCATTGTAATTTTAAAGAACTCAGGAAGGTGGAGTGTGCAACCATGGATGGTGATGCTGTCAGCAACTGAGGTGCGAAGGCGCTGACGGGAGCCAATCAGGAGAGCCTCGGTCTTGCTGACATTCAACTGAAGAAAGTTAGCTCTCATCCAGGACTTGATGTCTGACAGACATTCTGTCAGGACAGCAGTGGTCCTGGAGTCAAGGGTGGAGGCAGAGAAGTAGAGTTGGGTGTCATCCGCATACATGTGGAAATTGACCCCATGTCTGCGGATGATATCACCAAGAGGGAGCATATAGATATTGATGAGGAGGGGATCAAGGTCAGAGCCCTGAGGATACTGCACAAGACGGTGCGGGGGTTAGAGGAGAAGCTGTTTGAGGAGATGAAGTGCAGGCGATGTGAGAGGTACGGTCTGAACCAATCAAGGACAACGCCGTGGAAGTTGAGGTGAGAGGAGAGGCGGTGGATGAGGACAGAGTGGTCGACGGTGTCGAAAGCAGCAGAGAGGTCAAGGAGGACGAGGAGGCAGAGGGAGCCCTGGTCACAGATGGACAGAATGTCATTGATCACTTTGACCAGAGTGGTTTCTGTGCTGTGGGCGGCACGGAAACCCGATTGGAGGGGTTCGAGAAGGGAGTAGCAGAAGAGGAAGGAGCGAAGTAACAACTCGTTTCAGGACCTTGAATAGGAAGGGGAGGTTGGAGATGGGGCAGTAGTTAGGGAATAGAGAAGGGAGAGTTTTTTAAGGATAGGAGTGATGACAGTGGTTTTTAAAGGGATGGAAACTGTACCAGAGGACAGGTACAGTGAGTAGAGGGGCAAGGAGGTGGAGCTGGGAGGTAAGGAGTGTGGTAGGGATGGGCTCGAGGGAGCAGTTGGTGGTTTTCATACATAAATATATTTAACAGGTCAAAAAAAGGGACACAAATTCATGCTCAGAAAGTGAACAGAAAGTTTATGTTTAATTAATTTTCAGAGAGTAGTAAATAATTGGAATAGACTACCCAGGGAGACACATTATTTCAGCAAATTCAAGAGAGAATTAGATAGGTATCTAGTGAATAATTAATTAATAGACTGAGAGAGAACTAGCGCAGGAATTTTTTTCAAACTTTTGGGTCCTATAATAATAATAAATAATCCTTGCATTTGATATAGCACTTTGTCGAGATATCTCAGAGGTTTTTACTGTGAAAGTGCAGTGACCTTGTATTTATGGGCAAACATTATTAACTTTGTGGGGTGTGCTTTACCTTAAGAACGCTCGAAGCCTTTCATCTCTTCTCCACTTTTTATAGAAGGAATAAGACAGGTAGAGAAGAATTACACTCCCGATACAGCCAAACACTGCTCCAGTAAGCACATCCCTGGGTAAGAGGAATAATGAAAGAGGTAGTTAGCAGAGGTTCACAAATTCCAAGCAGAGTCTACTTCAACTTGTAATCTTCTGATAGAAGCAAGTTATAGAAATAAAGATACGTTCAAAAACTACACTCATGTAAAGGAATTATTCTGCAATGGCAGCTTTACCAACCTCGATCTTCCCATCCTCTGTCATTCAATACATTGAGTTGACTTGTTACCAGATAGTCTGAGTTTGTATCTCACTGAGTCTACTTGGCATAACCAAGACTACTACTTCAGTTACTCTCTAAAATCCATTTATAAGCCAGGTGTCAGTTGGTAACACTTTTCCTTCTGAATCAAAAGGTTGGGGGTTCAATCCCATGTCTAGACTGAAACTCCAGTGCAGTGCTGGGGGAGTGCTGCAATGTCAGCGATAAGACATTAAACAGAGGACCCATCTGCCTGTTCAGGTAGACATTAAAGATCTCATGGCGTTATTCAAAAGGAGAAGGGAGTTCCTCCTGGTGCCCTGGCCAACAATCCCCCAAATAAAGTTAGTCATTCACGTCATGGCTGTTTCTGGGATAATGCTATATGCACATTGACTGCCAATTTTATGTCTAAAATATTCACTGCACTTTACAATAAATCTTGTAAAGCATTTGATATGACCTCTCAACATGAAAGGTGTTATTTTAAATGGAAGGACTAGCTTTTTATTATTACCTCACCCCCTCTTCTACTCTTGTCATCCTTCGTGGTCTCTTATGCCTAAATTTCACAATTAAAAAAATGTTAATAAAGAAATGGTGCTAAAAACTAGATGCCAGAGTGTACATTAAGTGATGTTGTTTTGAAGTTTGGAGTCTTTTTTCCCAACAGTACAAAAAGTCCTTTGACACTCTGTGTATATCACAGACAATGTCCCCCACTCCACCAGCTCCACTAAAAGTACCTCTGCAACCCCTTAACCCTGTCCGCTCCCTTCACTCTGCAGGCACTGGCCTACTCCACGTCCCCCGCTCAGCCTGCTCCACTATTGACGATTGGGCTTTCAGCCTTTCTGACCCCACCCTCTGGAACTCTGTCTCGCTCCTTCTCTTGCCTCCTTCAAGGCAAACCCAAGACCTTCCTTTTCAACTGTGCCTTTGGTCATCTTCTCTCCTCCACCCACCTTACCCTCCATCCCTGTCTGATCCCAACCCATAGCTCAGGTGCATTGTCCAGCGCATTAGGATGTCCTCCAGACATGAAAGGCACTATATAAAAGCAATTTGTTGTTGTTGTTATTATTGTTGTTGTTAAAAGTAACCATCAGCATAAAATCTGTCTCATTGAGATAATGGATAAAGTTTCCAGAGCTGCCTCATTCAGTGCAAGACAGAATGATGTTCATCTCTGTGATCAGATATTTAAATATAAATAAACCATAGTTCAGCCAAGCGAAAATATCCAATTTGAGTTATTTGCACTTAAATATCTTGGATGTGTTGTCTACAGTATACAACATTTAATAACACAACCATCCTCTTAGCAGCAGCTAAGCTTACAGTGAAATACCAACAGCTCAGTTTCCAGTCTGGTTATCTCAAGAGAAAGATTTCACAATTACCACAGGACTGAGATGAGAACAAAACAAGGTGGAAATTCACAGCAGATCAATCAGCATCTGAAAACTAATAATAATCCTTGCATTTGATACAGCAACGTATCATGTTATTGAAACATCTCAAAGCAATTCACAGATTTACTGAAGTGGTTGACCAATTTTTATGGATGGATTGTTGGCCAGGACACCTGAAGAAACTCCATTCTGTTTTTGAATAGTCCCAGGGATCTGAGACACCATCCTGTGTGAAGGATGTATATAAATGCAAATTGTTATCGTCTCATCCGAAGGATAGCACTTCCAACAATGTAACATGCTATTGGAGTATCAGACTAGATGTGAATGATGTCCACACAATGGGACTAACATATGCAGTGTACTTATTGTAAACATATCCAGTAATAATCTACAGTTGATTACTTGGAAATAAATGTGTATATCCTCCTCAGTACTGCAGTTCATCTTGTGACTAAAGCTTTCATATCTATGTGTAAAAGGCTGATGTTTCAAAACTTGTTGAGTGTTTATCAGAAACTGCATGAGCTGGAAATTAGTGGCATTTGCGTGCATCAGCTCCCTGTAGTATTGCATTTCTTCGTGTTTTTGTTGAAAAAGAAACTTTGAAATGATATGTAAACAGGAAACGTTTATTTAAATAGATCAGGGAAGATTTGAGGAATTTATAAAAATGGGTTCAATCTCTACAGTAGTATCTGGAAACATAACACATTAAGATACTGAAGAGATACTGTTACTCTTTTTGGCTGGAACAAGGACCAAAGGTCAAAATCTATGTTGGCTTTCAAGAGGGAACAAGACAGATACATTGGTATGTGAAGGGGAAAAGATGTGCGGGGCGTGGAGGAGGGAATGATGATGACCCTACAACAGTTAAAGACCTAGACAGTAACAGTCAAATACAACATGAAGGCGGATGATGTATTTTTTTGTGACGTAAAAAATTTACTATAAGGTCTTGCATCAATAACATTTGCATCTATTGCAGACCTCGTTTGCAAATCAGTAGCAATAACAAACCTCCAAGAAATAAGCATTCATGTAGTTGAAGGCACTTACTGCCAGACACAGTCCTATTGAAGGTCAGGACACAACCACAACAAGTGCAGAGGGCACAGCAACATAACCTTTAAAGTAGACAAAATTCTGAGTGTGCACAGCGTGTTACTCAGCTGCTGTAAATCAAACTGCGCAACTCAAAATCCAACGCCCACTTTGCCAAGATCATCTTTGTATCGCATTTAATCTAAACTGAAGCAGATGTGATCGCCAACGCACGCAGTAAACAAGTTCCCAATTCTAAGAAAAGTTGAATAAACTTAGTTCCAACTGTGTTTTTTCTGAATTAAAGTGAAAGCATCCTTGCATTTTACGAAGCTTAGACCTCCCGCTTTGCACAAATGCTCAGTCAAACTCACAACAACAACAACTAGCATTAACTTAGCGCCCTTCACGCGGGTAACGTCTCGGAACACTTAACAGGGGTATGATTTGATGCCGAGCTGGAACAAGAGGGGAAGTAACCAATATCGCTATAGTAATACTATCTCGCTATAATAATAATCTCAATTTTACACTTATGTACAGCCTTTCATGTCTGGAGGATGTTTCAAAGGGCTTTGCAGAACTTTCTGGGAGACTGAGCTGAGGGTGGGGGGAGCTAAGGAAGCGGGGGGGGGGGGTGGGTGGGGAGGGGAGAAGGTGAACAAAAGTGCGTTAAAAAAGTCCTCATGCGGGCTTTAAAATAATAATAGGCCGTGCAGAACTTGGGACACTTTACGATGAATCCTGTGAAGCACTTCAAGATGTCGTCCTCCTGACATTCAAAGCACCATATCAAATGTGGGGATTATCCTTATTTATTTCATGGAGTTTACCAACGTCAGCTACACTTAGTCACTGCTCTCCAGTCTATTGGAACATGTCTTGCTTTCTTGTAGGTACAGTACCCACTGAGAATCACAGTCTGTTCTCAGACAGACTAGTCACACACTGGGATTTCTCCATCTCGTGCATAGGAGTTACAAATACCAACAACCTCAACAATTGTGAGGTTTTCCAATTCGACTACTTGAATTGCTAAATTACTAGAGAAGATACGATACAAGGCACAGATTGTTATGGATTGAGTAAAGGGAATAAACAACATCAAAAATAACACAAAAAATAAATATAAAACTTATGTTTCAACAGCAAGTTCTTAAAACAAGCAGGGGCTCTTGTGTTTATGTGTGCAAATATTTCGTTCAGTTCACACCCTGCAGCAACAACAACAGCTTGCATTTACATTTACATTTCTCATGCACAGTAGCGTCCCAGAGCGCGAACTCCACTCTTCGGTGTCTGAAACTTGCGAAGCTCAATATGGAAAGGAAATGGTTCTGTAAGCGTTTCTGTTTAAATGTTTAGAGGGTGTTGGTGAAATTAACAAACTGAATAACAAAAGTTTGAATGAATCGCATTGTATGTAAATTTTCAACTTTTTTTAAAAAGAATATCAAAACCAAACTGAAGATTCCACACATACCAACTAAACATGGAAATTCCCCTCTTTGGAATGGAATGCACACTCGCCCCTGGAGGGGAACTCAACCTCCATACCTAATTCCTGAGAATATGAGGTGCAGGTTGGCAAGAGCCAAGCCCAACCAGCTAAAACCGCATAGCTTGCCATTCATTGAAAGCATTGTTTGGCAAGCTACCCACTGCTGATACAATTAGGACCTCCCTAACCATTGGGTATTGGCTTGCAGGGTTAACAGGAGCTGAGTGGGAAGAATCCTTGCCTCCATAATGTCCTCGCGACATGAAAGACGCTATACAATTGTAATTTTTGTATTGTATTGTATTATCCTTCCGAGCACTACTGATGAGCCAGGCTGGCTGGCCTATCACTAGCAGTGCCTGGAGTATTGTGGACCCGCCTGGATGAGGAACAGAACTACCAAAACCTGATTTGGACATTCCCAGCAGTCTGATAGAATCAAAGGGTTGTTAGGACACTGGACCTAAACAATACTCAATAATATTGTATCATACCTCATGGCTATGTGGAGTGTAGGGTATTCCCTGGTGAAAACACAGATTATATCAGAGGAGTTTTTGCTTCTGTCCAAAGTGGAGCACTTCTTAGATCTCAGTTGGCAGAAAACAAGATCATCTATTTTTTTTTAAATGAAACCTATTGAAAGCTGTGATTAAAAAAAGGAGAAAGAGTAGATGGCAATAAATGGAGAATAAGAGTAATCTACAATTATAATTCAGTGGTAACTGGAAGAGAAAAAGATAATTTTGCAAACAGGTTTTGCATGAGTCAATAGTTGAAAGCAGAAAAATGAATAAAACACTGACATTGGAAATTCAAAATTAAAAGGGAAAAACTGGTTCATTCAG